GAAGATTCTTGAATTACAAGAAAAACCCGATGATATGAAGGATAAGGTTTGAAAAAAAATAAATAATAGAGCATGTGAGGTTATTCGATCATGTTTGACGCCGGATTTGATTTATGATGTAATGAATGAAACATCGACGAAACGGTTGTGGGAAATACTCAATGACAAGTATTTGACGAAGAGCATTGAGACTCAAGAATGAAGAGAGGATACAGGTGGAGACGTCATGGCAGATGGACAGGTGGAGGATACAGTGGATGTTGGGACTTAGGAACATAGTAATGTTCAGGAGTCCATTGCAGCTAATAGACCAAGAAGAAACATTCGTCGGCCAGCTAGGTATGATGATGTGATGATTTTATATGCTTTGTTAGTCAAGGTCGTTGATGATTTGGTTCCTTCTACATATAAGGAAGCAGAATCAAGCTTTGATTCAATCAGATGGAGGGAAGCTATGGAGGAGGAGATGCACTCTCTTTAGAACGATATTTGGGAACTTGCAAAGCTACCGAAGGGTAAGAAGGCTATTGGATGCAAGTAGGTATATGCAAAAAAAGAAGGCTTCTAATGAAGACATACGGTACAAAGCTAGATTGGTTGCTAAAGGGTATGCCCAGCTTGAGGGCATAGATTATAATAAAATATTCTCACCGGTGGTGAAGCACTCGTCGATAAGAATACTATTAGCATTGGTGATACAGTTAGATTTGGATTTGGTCCAGATGGATGTAAAAACAACATTTCTACATGGAGATTTAGAAGAGGATATCTATATGTCACAATCGATGGGTTTTAAAGCTGCAGACAAGAATGATTTGGTATGTAAACTAAAAAAATCTCTTTATGGATTGAAGCAATCACCGTGATAATAGTACAAGAGATTTAACAGTTTCATGGTTGGCCAATGGTACATGAGGAGCCCATATGACCCGTGTGTGTACATGCACAAGCTACAAAATAGTGAGCATATTTATTTATTATTATATGTTGACGATATGCTCATTATTTTCAGGAATTCTTCAGCTATTAGGAAGTTGAAAAAGAAATTATCATTCGAATTTGAGATAAATGACCTTGGAGAAGCAAAAAAGATATTGAGTATGAAAATTGAGAGAGACAATATGAAGGGGAGGTTGAAGTTGACACAGATGAGCTACTTGCAGAAGATGCTGAAGAAATTCAGTTTTGATGACAATGCCAAGGTGGTGAGTACTTCATTAGCTCCTCACTTTAAGTTATCAACTAAGATATCACATGTTTCAATTGAGGATCGTGAGTACATGTTCAAAGTTCCATAAGCCAGTACGGTGGGTAGCTTGATGTATGCGATAATGTGTACAATACCAGATTTATCACAGGCCGTGAGCATGGTGTCTAGGTACATGCACGATTCCGGGAAGGGTCATTGGAAGACCGTAAAGTGGATCCTATAGTATATCAAAGGTACTGTGGATGTTGGTTTGGTGTTTGAGAAGAATGGGAGAAATAGGTAGGATTGTGTTGGATATGTGGATTCGGATAATGTTGGGGATCTTGACAAGCGCCGGTCTATTACTGGATATGTGTTTACACTAACAGGAGCACCGGTGTGTTGAAGATGTACAATTTAATCTACAGTGACTCTTTCCACTACGGAGACAGAGTATATGGTATTGACTGAAGTTGTGAAGGAAGTTTTGTGGTTGCAGAGGTTATTGGATGACTTGAGGATTGTACAAGATACCATCAGGGTAAATTATGATAGCATGTCAGCTATCTATTTGACAAAGAACCATGTGTATCATGTCCGAACAAAGAACATTGATGTCAGGTTCCATTTTGTGCGAGATGTCTTGGATAATGGAGACATTAAACTAGAGAAGATCCATACCAAGGACAACCCGACAGATATGTTGATCAAAGTTGTCATTGGTGTAAAATTTGGTCATTGTTTGGAGTTGTTAAACATTTTTCGTTGTTGAGGGCCTTTGAAGTCTATTTGGGTGAACTACGTGAGGTTTGATTTCTTAGGTAAAAGGATACGTAGGCAGTTATTTTTTGATGCAGCCAGTTTAACGAGTTGATACCGACATGGTAGAGTTTGCTAGAGTTCTCATTTGGGTTCCCGAATTATCGTGGATTAAGTCTGTTGTTGTGGATTGAGTCCACTTCGTACTGGACGTAACAAGTGGGATGGTTGATATCGGGATCGGCTTAGTTTTATTGAAAAACTTCACCGAGGTGGAGATTGTTAGGGTCAAATAAACACGCAGCCACCGAAAGGAGATTGTGTCTGTTAACAAAATCAAGCCAACAAAATGAAGAAGTCAAAAAATGAGAGGGCTTTCGGTGACTTGTTGATAGAGAGAGGGGTGGCCGAAGTTTAAGGGAGCCGTCATTGTTGACAAGAAGGGGCATGGAAGCTATAACCCCCCCCCCCCTCTCCTCTCACTTAAATCATCATCAGAATCAATTAGCTCCTGAGAGCTTGAGTGAGATTTTTAAGAGTGATTGAGAGAGCTTGAGAGAGATTATTGAGAGAAGAAAAAACAATCAAGAGTGATTTGTTGTTTGTGAGATTATTGAGCGATTATAATCTCTATTTGTACTCTCTCTCCCTTTATTAGTAAAATCTATCCCCTCCTTGCCCCGTGGACGTAGACACATTGTCGAACCACGTAAATTTGGTATCTTACTTGTGTGGTGCTTGTTTTGAGTGTTGATTTGTGCTCCTATCTCGGATTTGATTTCGACTCCGTTGCGCCCAACAAGTGGTATCAGAGCTCCAGGTTGGCTTGGAGTTCAATTTGGAGGATCGTAAATTTGGAGGATTTGTATAAGGCACAGACTAGTTCAATGTTACATTAAACGCTGGGTGCTTCTAGGCGTCAGACTTGACATCCAGCGCTTAGTCGTCTAGGCGGGCGTCTAAACGGTTTCTGAAAGTTTTTTTTTCTTTTTTAAATTGTGATACTTAAAAATAAATATATATATACTCAATCAAAGATGCATAAATACTAAAGTATCAATACTATTAACTAAATTACTTGGTTTACCAATTACAATAGATTTTTGTATGTTTATACTTCTCAACTCAAATTATAAGTTCATCTCAATAGTGAAAAACTCATTCTCAACTCAAATTACTGTTAACTTATAAGTTACTATTAAGTTTAAGTTAACAATAAACTTAAACTTAAGTTCACTGTTAACTAAAATATTATTAACTTAAGTTTACTATTTACTTAAACTTAAGTTTACCATCAATAAATAACTTAATATTAACTTAAATTTAAACTTAAACTTAAGTTTACTGTTAGCTTAAACTTAAGTTTAACTTAAACTTAAACTTAAGTTTACTGTTAACTTACATTTCTTAAGTTTAAGCTACTGTTGTTAACTAACTTAAATAAATATTTAAAAAGTACTCTTTACATTGTTAGTAGTTACAGAGATCGGAGGAGCTCGGCAATGTTACAAAAGGCGCTAGACAGACTAGGCGTTTGAGCGAACGCCTAGCGCCTAGACCCCTGGGCGTACGCCTATGCAGCGCCTAGGCGTTTGACTATTTTTAAATTATTTAATTATAATAATTGATAAAAATATGTATTAAATTCATATAAATTTTTAAAAAAAGATAGCAATCTTAGTTCCACAATAAATCATGCATACTTAGATACTAAATAGCCAAAATAATAATTAACAAGGTTAGAACCTAAGATGTTTTCTTTTTTTATTTTTAATTACAATAATTGATAGTAAATATCAATGTTATAGAACGCTTAGATGTCGGACTGGTGTCTAGGCGGATTTCTTTCTTCATTTAATTGGTGATCGATGAGGTTTTGCTGAAGATCGGAGGAGGTAGTAGAGATGTTCATATTTGGAGGTTAATGGAGTTCGGAGGACGTGTAGGCTACAACACATAAAATAACAACCAAGGCCTACAGGGTGCAATCCACGTAAGCAGACAATGCTCCCCTAAACGCTCGTAAAATCTAGATGGGTAGCCTAAATACCGCCTAAGCGATAGGCGCTAATTAAACGGCCTAGGTACCGCCTAGGCCTAAGCGTACGTCTAAGCGGACTAGGCGGAGGTTTTTTAAAACAGAGGACTAGTTAACAGAGAACCTATAGGAAACAATTATGTCGCATTGTTAATGGTCAGTGTTATAAGGCTCACATGGTCTTTAATGAAGAATCCCAAAATTTCCTCATCCTAACTCTGGTTAGAGATACAAACGAAGATATATGTATAGAATCAATAGATACATATTATATAGTCTATAAGAATAATGGACATGGGACAGTCGCATTGTAGAAGTCACAATAATTGGGAACGTTATGATGGATTATAAATCCTAATAAAGAGTTTATGTAAATAACATTGTTTGATTTTCAGAAAGAACTTATAGAATTAATTGAATAGCTATAAGACCTACGATAGTAGGAATAGTTACTGATAGAAGAGGAATGATTGATAAAGTCAGCAAAGTATCTAAAATGAAGATTAAATTTTAATATCTGAGAGTTTTACCATTTATTTACAACTAACAACATCCATGTGAGCAATAAAATAATCTTCTGAAAAAAAAATTAAGCCACCTAGAGTGCATGCAACATCGGTTAGCCAGAATATTGCACTATTTTCTTATAACGTGTTGATGCAGGAAAATTAATTAGATAGAACATACAAATCTTATATCACATATATACCCAACAAAAGCTCAACCATCACTCTTATCGACTGCAATTTTAAGATCCTGACTCAGTTGAATCTATCTCGGGATTATTCCCACTAACTTATTCTAGGAAAGTTTGAAAGCTCATGAGGGTTTTGAGAGACAACCCAAAGTTCAGGAGGTCCGCTGGGGAATCGACGCCCCGGATTTCATCAGAAAAGCCTTCAAATTTCAGGGGGCTCTTGTGAAATTTGCACTGATTTCAGCTTGTCATGGGTACACTAACGAAATCATCATCAAAAGGAACAAAACGAAACAAGGTTGCTTCTCGAAAATTACCAGATACGGAACCTCCTTCGCGTTAGTAACATCAGCCGCCCTCAGAAACGTCGCCATCCGAGCTCTCAAAATCTTATCTTTCCACTCCCCATCCGCTCCGTTGCCAGGGTTCACAGCAACACCCCTCACCAACCTCAAAATCTCAACTAAACCCTCGTCAAACTTCCTTTTCCTGCACCCCAGCCTCTCCTTCTCCTCCATCAGAAGCCTAAATACGAGCGCCTCGATCCTCTTCTTGAGATCAGGACAAACCGGAGACTTGTTCTTCTTATCGAAAATCTGAAGCCAGCGGTGGAAGAGATCAGAGCAGTCGAAGGCCTCCGACTTCGGAACCTCAAACCCTAGGATGCTCGAAGGGTTCTTTGAGAAAGTGTTGGAGATGTAATCCAACAGAGCTCGGATCTTCGACTCCGCCTTCGCGCAGCCGAGGCACGAGCTCGCCGCCGGCGAACCGGCGTCTCCGGCCACCGTCATTTTGTCAAGGGCGAGTTCGCGCCCTTTTTCCCCCCCCTTTGGAATCGACGATTTTTGCGCGCCTACGTTTTAAGGGAGATTGGAATCAGTGTACTGATAATTGTAATACAATTTTCATATGGCTCTACACGAACAGGAGGCTCACCATATTCTCATTCTAAATGTTAAGAAAGTATCCCACATATTTAATGGGAGTGAAAAAAAATAGTATAAAAAGTATGGTGTAGTTAACATTTTTCTCAAGGGATATTTGAAAAAAAAAAATCGTGAAGGGTTCTATCTACATTTGGGCAAATAGTACAGAGAACTATGGAGGGTCTGCTGGTCATGGGTTGATACTACTGGGGGTCTATCCACAATATAACTACATTTATGATTTTGTGTTTTTTTTACCAAAATATGCGTCAATAAAGGAGATAAATAACATTTTATGCTCGTTTTTTTTTCTTCTTCTTGAAATGGGATGATACGCGATAGTTAGGGGTGGTAAACGATCGAATCGAATACTAAGGTGTTCGTATTTGTATTTGTTTAAAATTATCGAATTCGAATATGAACTCTAATATTCATATATCTAGTTTTTTGAATTCGAACTCGAATACTTGGTATTTGATAAATATTCATGTATATTCACGAATACTTATCGAATATCAAAGTATATTTATACCGCTAAAGAATTTAATTTTCAAATAGTATTAGAATTCATAAATAAAATGTATTCATTTATAATATATGATGTATATATATTTAAATTAAAATTTTAATTAGAAAACATATTTTAAGATTATTTAAATCTTAAAATCAATATATAAAACTTAAGTATAAATGATATGTGGGTTAAAAATATGACATCATATGTGCAATAATACAAGTAATAAATTATGATCAAATTTTAAACGAATATTTAATAGACAAACGAATCTGGTTAAATTCTATTCGTTAGTAAACTCGAATACTAAAAAATATTTGTTTAGTGGTAAATGAACTACCGAATCGAATATGACCGAATACTTATTCGAACAATTATCGAACTATTTGTTAATTATTTGGTTCATTTCCACCCCTAGATAGCATTGTTCAGGAATACTGAGCTAACTAATTAATAAGTTATTATTGTGTTTAAATGGACCAACGCATAGCATTTCGAGGCAGCCTTCATTCATTTCCTTGGATTGAAATAATTGCTATAGAACTGAGAAAGTCACAGTATCTTAAAAGTGATAAACTTTTGTATACATTTTTAGTAATTTTTTTGGAGAGAAAGAGGTGATAATGAAAGGAGAGGAAAAAGAGAGAATCAACTCTTTTAGCTAGGAAACAAAACTTCTTTTGGGTAAATTTTGAAAGACCCTCCTAGTTCGGGGGTGGGTTCTCACTAAAACCCCCCTTTGAACTTTTCACTAACACCTCTAAACTTTAGGGCGTCGCACTTATCCCTCTAGCTTTCAACTTTTTCCAAAAACCCCAAGCCTATAAATGACAAATAACTAAAATGTTTTTCAGAGGGAAAAAACTCAATTTAGTCATCTGCAACAGTAGACCCCTATCCCATAATTAGAGTTTTTTTAATAAAGAATACTTCTGTCATTTACCATTTACAAATTTTTTTGTTGGTGGGTTGGGGGGATCAATTGTTAGAGTTGTGGAAGCTAGATGGGTAATTGATTTTAGTTTTTTCAGGATTGAGAATGGAGGAAGTAGAAGGGAAAATAAGAAGAGGCTAAGAACTTGAAGCAACTTTTTATGAATTGCTTAAAGCTTGATTACAAAGCTTACATTCAATGCCTATTTATAGGCTCGTAAGGAATTCTCTGGAATGCTTAGATTTTTCATGATACATCGAGTTTCTAGATAATTCTATATAATTTTATTTTCTACATACATCCACGTTTAATATATCTAGTTCCTAGATTATTCTAGACATTTCTAGTTTACATGTTTTTTACAAATATCCTAGAGTTTTCTAGAATTACAAATTGTCTTCTAACATCAATTGCGAAAAATTTTAAGCTTAGAGAGATTATACATGAGAGGTCTTGAAGTTGAAAGGATTTAGCTAATAAACAAAGTTTAGGGGGTTACATGCGAACCAATATAAAGTTCGAAGGAGATTTGTGAAAGTGCCCCTTTTTCATTCAGGCGTCATTTTTTGTTTTCGAACCCTAGATGGAGCAATCGGTACTAATTTGATTATAAGAAAAGAAGCTATAGAATCAAACGAAATAATAGCAAAATTAAAATTAAATTAGAGGAGGAAGAAACTCACAGTGGAAGAGCGAGAATTTAGCCTTGGAATTTATTTGGGGAGTTGATAGCGTGAGCAGCCCAAAAAAATTAAATATTTCGGACAAGAAAACCCTCTTTGGTCCACAAAGAGACGCCTCAATTCGACTGCAGGAAAGACTCTATACTAAAGTATTTATAGCAATAATTTTTGGAATATATAATGAGGTTGTTATTGTAAATTTATTACACTTCTCTACATCAAGGTTGTTTTCCCTAAAATCACTTTTAAAACAGGGCCATTTTAGGGGGGGTTAGTCACCTAGAACTTAAATTTAGAACTGGCATAATCTGTGGGATAAAATTTTAAGGTGTTAGTCACATAGAACTAAACCTAGAACAAAATTTTAAGGTGTTAGTCACATAGAACTAAAACTAGAATAAAATTTTACAGTGTTAGTCAAGCAGAACTTTAACAAAACTAGAATTGGGATAATGGTACAAAATTATCCCACTTTTTTTATTTTTCTATACAAAAATGAGAGTTCTAGCCTTTCAAATTATTCAAAGTTTTAGCTTGGAACTATGTGGTAAAAAACTAGAACTTGTATTTATTTTGTTATTTTTTATTTTTTCTTTACTTATTTCCTATTACGGTTATCACCATCATTAGACCATCATCATAATAATAATTGTCAATATCTTATAGTCTAACCAAAAGTTATTTAATAGTAACGAACATTCTTGTAAGCAATTATCAATTAATAATAGTAAGTTTAAAATACATAAATAGTATTTATATCTTCAAAATGCATAAATATATACTTCATGATTATAAAAATTTATCCCACGTTATTTTATCAAAATATCCCGCTTCACAAAATTGTTCCTAGTTATCCTACTAAAATATCCCACTAGCGAAATATTATTCCACTTTAACAATTATCCCATTTTGCATGAAAATGTCCCAATTGACTAACACCCCCTTAGTGAAACCAGTTTTGACTGCCAATTCATAGATAAAAACCACCTTTAAACAAATTTTTGTTGCAATCGATCATTCAGAGTCATTTTTCAGTGAAGTTTTTTAGTTTTGCTGTAATTATTAGTTGCGAAATTTACCACGAAACCCCCCAGAATTTGCTTTTCCTATTAGGGGCTGTTTGTCTGCCTAAAAAAGGAGGGAAATCAAAGAAATGGAAAACTATTTCTAAGAAAAATTATTTTGGGAATATTTGGTTGGCTTAAAATAGAAAGTAATCAAAGAAATGGAGATGAGATGATGTTAGTTGTCACCTTATTATAGGATGATGTGAGTGATTTTTTAAGAAAAATTGTTTTGATATTGTTTGGTTAGTGAAAAAATAAGGAAATGAATTATAACTTATTTCTTGTAATAGGTTGTTTTCTTTTGTTTGGTTCATTCTTAAAAATAAGAAAATAGATGAGATGTGATGAGTTGTCATTATATTATTGGATGATGTGACTCACACTTAAGGAAATCGTTTTTCTAGCTTTTTGGGAGGAAATGAGTGGAAATAAAATGTTAATGAGATGAGATGAGTTGTCATCATCTTATTGGATGATGTAAGTGATTTGAAATGATAAGATGAGATGAATTGAGTGATGTTGTGGATAAAAATAATATTTTATTAGATGTGGTGGATGAGTTGTTGGGTAAAAATAATATTTTATTAGATATGGTGGATGAGTTGTTGGATGAAAATATTTTTTTATTAGATGTGGTGGATGAGTTGTTGGATGAAAATAATATTTTATTGGATGTTGTGGGTAAGTTTTAGGGATGGAAATGGATGAAATTGTACTTTTTGAGATTTCCACTTTTTCATTTCCATTTCTTGGTTTTTAGTAAATAACCAAACAGACCCTTAAAGCAAAGTATATTAGAGATATACTTTTGCCGAGTTCTTTCACTTTATAGTTACTAAGAAGAAATTTTCAAAATCGCCTCAACATAATTTTTTTTAAAAAAAAGAGACCCCATCCACTTTTAGTTATAAAAATCGACCCACTTTGAGTTAATTACGGTATTAATTAGTTAGGGTTGCCAACCCCGACTAATTAGTAGCCTAATTACAAGTGGGGTCAAGGAGCGAGGAAGGTTTGCGGGTGCTAATTAGGCTACTAACTAGTCGAGGTTGGCAACCCTGACAGTACCGTAATTAACTCAAAATGGGTCGATTTTTATAATTAAAAGTGAATGGGGTCGATTTCTTTAAAAAAATTCCGTTGAGGCAATTTTGAAAATTTCTTCCAATTACTAATTTAGAGAAATTTTTACAAACCCCCCCAAAACTTTGCAGCGTTTACCACGAAACCTCCTTGGACTTTGTTTTCCCCACCAAACCCCCAATGCTTTTCCCATAGCACACCAAAGCTCTAAAAATCTCAAATAACCCCCAACACTATTAACTTTTTCCACAAAACCGCTCCGAAAGGTCACTTGGCCTTGGAGGGCTTTATTATTTGCCCAATTCTAGATTGAAAAGGATATCCATAGAACTGCAATCTGATAACAAGCAGTATATATATTTAAGAAATGGCACCATCCACATAACTGAAGCACAAACAAGGAATTGCCAAACATTGCAAAATGTCTAGAGAATAAAACTATTTACACATTATGAGTTCAGAGAATACACTTAAACATCTGATCAACAGACTTTGGAATCAGATATCATCAACAAATCATCTATATTGTCTTCTTATAAGTGTACCATTTAGCAATCAGAAGGTACACTAGAAAGTTCACAAAGCTAAGTATCGCCAGTAACCAGTAGAAGTAATCAAGATGCCCTCTATTCAAATTATCAGGAATCCACCCAGGTTTCCCATTCTTAGTAGTAATATCGGTGACAATTGTCACCAAAAGGGTACTAAGGTAATTTCCAAGCGCAACTGTCGTCAGCGAGAGCGCCGAGCACATACTCCTCATCGCGTCCGGCGCCTGATCGTAGAAAAACTCGAGCTGTCCGACGAAAGTGAAGATCTCAGCAGCTCCGACGATGAAATACTGAGGAACTTGCCAGAATATCGACATGGGCAAGAAATCTTTAGAGTCATACAAGTTGTGCCTCGCGATTACACGCAGCCTGAAAACTTCAAGAAGTCCTGCAGCTAACATGGCGAATATTGAGATGACGAGGCCGATGCCCATTCGAGTTAGCTGGGTGAAGCCACGCTCCCGACCAGTGAACCTGTGGTAGCGGTAGTTCAATTTACAAACTAATAGAATTTCACCAGGTATAAAGTTCGATTCGCTTGATTACCAAATATTCATTTAAAGTTTTATCCTTTATGATTTGAATTATTACAAGCACCATGTTATGTTTTTGACCCATTTATATTTTATTATCTAAATTCTACATGCTAAACAACAGAAACCTCCTTAACTTTGAACGATTATCAATAACTTTCAAAAATGTCAGAAACCCCCTTAAGTTTAGGCGTTATCAGAAAAACCCTTCCAACTTTAAGATTTTTACATAACCCCTCCCCCTCTCCCCAAATGGTGTTAACTGCATCTTTCGCATGGTGGGGTAAAATTACACAGGCTGTAGTTTTCCAGTAAAATGTGGTTCGCACTTTTAGGAGGTCTTTCATAAAAGGTTGAAAGTTGAAGGGGGTCTTCTAATAACCCATCATAACTTTATGGGGGCTTTCTGATATTTTGAAAGTTATGGGGGTTCATCTGATAATCATCTAGCGTTGTGGGGGTTTACGAAAATTTTGCCAGTTTAGAAACTAAAAGAGCTCCATATCAGTTTTTAAACTAAACTAGTATAGTGCACGTGCTTTACACGTGGGCAAACTTGTGAAATAATTAGTAATATCTTTTTTTTCAAAATCAAAATCAAAATTTTGTACCTAATATTAATAAATGTGATATTCCGGTAGTTATTATTTTAATAAATCTTAAATACTTTTTTGGATGGCACTTGGTTGTTGCTAGGAAGTTCAAACAAAAAGCCTAAACCTGATGCTCGCGATGCCCATTAATCTTCAAGTTTAATATTTTTAAATTAAAAATATAATGATAGCTACACTACTTCACTTATATTATTTCTCCATTACAAAAGAGAAATTTTAGTGTCCTACGGTTACAAAGAGACATATGCATTATTGAAAGATGCACTTTATGCTATCAAATATTAAAAAAAAAAGATAAATCTTTTATCTTTTGTGTCGTCAACAATATTAGTTTGACTTGAAAGGTTCATGCACCTTCTGATAAATATAATATTAATATGTTTAATTATGTAAAATTAAATTTTTTTGTAGAGTTTATTTGTAATTTGTTTAATATTATTTTAAAATATATTTTATGAACTATTATTTTATATGTTATATTATTTATCAATGTATGTTTTTTTATTTGTCGTAAAACAATCATATTATATAGTTTATATATGTGTATGTGTATATAACCATCAAATTTCTATACAGTCAATTTTATACAACTAACACACAAATTTAAAAATAATTGCAAAAGAAGAAAACAAATGAGGGAAGAATCTCAATTTTATACAACTAACACACAAATTTAAAAATAATTGCAAAAGAAGAAAACAAATGAGGGAAGAATCTTGAATTGAGTAACTTATGCTTTAATTGCAAAAGAAGAAAACAAATGAGGGAAGAATCTTGAATTGAGTAACTTATGCTTTGACTTTCATAAAAAAAAAACTTATGCATTAAAATTCCTAATAAAAGATTTATGCATTGAATTAATGCTAGTGGATGAAGGATAAGAGATCATTAATTAAGTGAATTGAGGAATTATTAAACATAGGAATTATAACTACTAAGAGGGGCAATATAGGAAGCTGAAAGTTTTGACACTCATATTCTCTTTTATAAATAGTATAGATATAGATATAGATATAGATTTCTTTAACCCTACCTGCGGACAAGTGGAACGATGATGCAGTCATAGACTGGAACCCAGAAGATGACGCTGAGGGTGTCGAAGATGGAGAGAGACGCTGCGGGGATTTCGAAATGGGGCCCCATTCTTGGGTCGAGAGTGTCGCCTTGGAGGACAAACATGGTGCTCATTTGGCCGTAGACGGTGGCAAAGATTATGCCACTCGCCCAGATTGGGAGGAGGCGGACAACACTCTTGAGTTCCTCGACTTGGGTCACTGTGCAGAGCCTCCATGGACTTAGTTGATCGTTGATCTTGTCGGTCTGAGTCTCCACAGTAGCTTTGTCGAAGAATCTACAAAACAAACATTTTGAGTAGAAAATTAAAATAAATAGTATTTGTTTTTTTTGTTTTTTTTTTTGTTTTTTTTTTTTGGGGGGGGGGGGGGGGGG